AAATATTGTGACCACTAAAATCTTTTAAACCCTCAAAACTAAACCCTAATACAACATATTTAACCTAAACATAAATAATATAATAATTTTTTTTTGAAAAAATGATATTTTTTGTAAATTTTTTGAAAAAATGATATTTTTGAAAAGTGTTATTTTTCATAAAACTAGAACTATTTCTTATAAATCAGATACTCGCTTGAATATGATCGGTAAATTTAAATCTCTGTATTTCGACTGGCCATATCAAATCAATGGTTCAAAATTTAATGTTGAATCGAGTGTCATGCCAGGACTTTAGAGGCTTAAACCAAATTAAAAAAAAATGGGGCATTTTTAATAATGTTTTTAACGGTATAGTTTTAAGCAATATAAGTTATTAAAAAAAACAATGATAAACAAAGTGTAAAACCAATAAAGAAAACATAAAACATTTACAAAAAATGAAATCTATCACAGAAACTATCATCTTTTTTTGTTTTTAAACCTTTTCACCAAATTCTTATAATTAATTTGCCTAGCCAAATCTTTTTTTTATAGATATAATAACAAAAGATGAATAGCAAAATATTCGTGTTTATCACAAAAAATTATATTTTCTTTAATATACGAAAAAAATTTAAAACAAAAAAAGATCAAACAATATATCTCTGATATAGATAAATATATTTATCTTACAAATTTTAATTTGTATTACACTTAGATTGAATGTAAGCGTTTTTAATGTAAATCGAATACGTTTGAGATTATGAGATTTTTTAAAATTATTTGAGCTGACCAAACCCAAAAAGTATGGTGTTAGTATGTAAATCGTCTTAAATAAAAAAAAGTAAAAATGATGATTTTCGAAATTCAACTATTAATGTTTAATTTGTAAAGTTGTTCGTTTATAACAAAACAAAATTTTAATTAGAGTAATATGGATACAACTAAATAATATAAAAGAAAATAGTGTATGATCAATAACATATGGAATCAAATGAACATAAATACATTTTTAATAAAATAATTAACATCGATAAAACATTATGTTATATAATATTTAAATATTTAAATTAGTAACATATGTTTGTATTTGTGAGTTCATGTTAAAAATTAATGTAAATATGTAGAGATTTCTACTATGTCATATA